TGCCATTTTAGCTTAGGTAACATTCCTGACAAGTGTTTCAGGCAATCTTTCTACAGTAACGTTTCTATAGAATTACTAGTTGCTGTTGTGCGACAAACCCAGTTAGATTGATAGATTGAAAGAGCGTGCTACAGTATAATAAGTAATGTAAACTCGCCATAGCCTTGCTCTTTCATAAGAGAGAGACAACTGGTGGTGAGTTTAACCCTGAGGGGCACCAGACCTCAGGTGAGGGGCAAGGTTGAGAAGGTGGGACAATGATATTGGGAATTGACCCCATTCTGTTGGTATCACTGTGCATTGCAAACCAACCATCCAGCCAACTGAGCTAAACCGTTAGGCAGAGGCCATGACCTTGGGATCAAAGTGTTACACAAAACTGAATGCTAACATCTGGCAGTGGGCCAGCTGTGTAGATCCTACACTATCAGCCAATCAGATGTATCACTGACATTCAACAAGAACATTTTTAAGCAGTTGTAACATAATGAAGCAGTTCCAAATTACTTTGCAGGATAATTATGAAGCACAGCTTGGCACTGAGGACACGAGGAGATGTCAGGGTAGGCCACCAAACTTTGGTCAAATTTTAAGAAGCATCTTAAGAAAAGAAAGGGATAGACAGGAGAGATGTTAATCAGTCCTTTTAGAGTTTAGAGACTGAGCAGCAAAAGGGGCAGATGGCTAATGGACCAGAGGGTCAGAGTTTAGTAGTGATTGTGGCTATAATGGATAGTGGCAGAGATGGCATTGCTGTTCAACTTTACTCTGAAGGTGGTACGGTGGTCAGCATTGCCTCACAGTCCCAGGGACCTGAGTTCAATTCCAGCCTTCGGTGACTGTATGTGTAGAGTTTGCGCATTGTCCCCATGTCTGTGTGGGTTTCCTTCTGGTGCTCTGGTTTCCTCCCACAGTCCAAAGATGTACAGCTTAGATGGATTGGCCATACTAAATTGCCCATAGTAATAGAATCCTACAGCACAGAGACAGGACCTTCAGCCCAAACTGGTCTTTGGTGACCAAAATGTCCACCCACGTTAACCCCATTCCCCTGTTCTTGGTCCATATCTGCCTAAACCTTTCCAATCCATGGATTTGTCCAAATGCCTTTTAAATGTTGTTAACATACCCACCTCAACCATTTCCGCTGGCAGCTCATTCCATATACGTACCACCCTGTGTGTAAAAATGTTGTCCCTCATGTTCCCATGTATTCTTTCCCCTCTTACCTTAAACTGATGCCCTCTGGTCCTCGATTCCCCAACCCTGGGAAAAAGACTGAGTGCATTCACCCTATCCATGCCTCTCATGATCTTATACACTTCTATAACATTCCCCCTCAGTCTCCTACGCTCTAAAGATAAAAGTCCTACCTTGTCCAACCTCTCCCTGCACAATCCCTTGAATCCTGGCAACATCCTTGTAAATTTCTTCTGCACTCTTTCCCGTTTGATAACATCCTTCCTATAACAGGGTGACCAAAACTGAACACAATACTCCAAGTGCGGCCTCACCAACATCCTGTACAAATGCATCATAACTTCCCAACTTCTATATTCAATACCCTGACTGATGACGACCAGTGTGCCAAAAGACTTCTTCACTGCCCTGTCTACCTGTGACTCCACTTTTGGAGAACTGTGCATCTGAACACCATGGTCCCTCTGTTCCACTACACTCCTTAGGGCCCCACCATTCACCATAAAACTCCTACCTTGATATGACTTTCCAAAATGCAATACCTCACACTTATCAATATTAAACTCCATTTACCATTTCTTGGCCCACTTCCCCAGCTGATCAAGATCCTGCTGCAACTTCTGATAAACTTCCTCACTGTCCATGATACCATCTATTTCAGTGTCATCCACAAACTTCCTACTCATGCCTTGTATATTCTCATCCAAATCATCAATATAGATAACAAACAGCAATGGGCCTGGCACAGTCCCCGAAGGCACACCGTTAGTCATAGGCCTCCAGTCCAACAAGCATCCTCCTAATATTAACCTTTGCTTCCTACCATCAAGCTACTTGTGTATCCAATTTGCCAGTTCTTCCTGGATTCCATGCGATCTAACCTTCCAGAGCAGCCTACCATGTGGAACCTTATCAAAGGCCTTACTGAAATCCATATAGACTACGTCTACTGCCCTGCCCTCATCAATCTGCCTGGTCACTTTGTCAAAGAACTCAAACAAATTTGTGAAGCATGATATTCTGCGCACAAAGCCATGTGACTACTCCTAATCAAACCTTGTCTTTCCAAATGCATGTATATCTTATCTCTCAGAATCTTCTCAAGTAACTTACCTACCACAGATGTTAAGCTTACTGGTCTGTAATTCCCAGGATTTTCTTTGCAGCCCTCCTTGAAAAAGGGCACAACATTCGCTACCTTCCAGTTTTCCGGGACTTCACCCGTGGCTAGTGATGATGCAAATTTATCAGCCAGGGCCCTCCCAATTTCTTCTCTAGCTTCTTGTAGAGTTCTTTGATATATCTGATCAGGACTAGGAAATTTATCCACTTTCATTCATTCTAATACTTCTAACACCTCCAAACTGTGACATGGACTGACCCAACGATGTTGCCACTAACTTCCTCAAGTTCCCAAGCCTTCAGGTCTTTCTCCATGGTAAACACATAGGGGAAATATTCATTGAGGACCTTGCCCATCTCCTGCAGTTTCACACATACATGTCCACTTTGGTCCTTGAGGAGTCCTGTTCTCTCTAATTATTCTTTTTTCTTTAAAATACTTAAAGAATCTCTTTGGATTCACTTTAATCTTCTCAGCCAAAGCTATCTCGTGCCCCCTTTTCACCGCCTGATTTCCTTCTTCAGTAAACTCCTGTATCCCCTATATACTTCCAGGGATTCCCTTGATTTCAGCTGCCTGTTTTTAAGCCATTCCTCCTTCTTTTTTCTGGTCAAAGCCTCAATATCTGTTGTCATTCAGGGTTCCCTACTCCTGCCAACGTTGCCCTTCACCCTCACAGGAACATATAGACCTTGAACACTGGCTATCACACTTTTAAAGGCCTGCCACTTGCCAGAGGTCCCTTCGTCTGCAAACAAACCATTCCAATCAACCCCTGCATGCTCCTAATTCCTTCAAAATTGCTTTATCACAATTTAGAACTTGAACCTGTGGACCAGTCTTGTCCTTCTCCATAACTATTTTAAAATTAATAGAACTATGGTAACTGGTCCCAAAGTGCTCCCCCACTGTCACCTCAGTCACCAGTCCCGCTCTATTTCCTAACAGTAGGTCGTGTTTTGCCCCTTACCGCGTAGGACCCTCTATATAATGCTTGAGGAAACTTTACTGCACACATTTAACAAATTCCACCCCATCTAAGTCCTTAACACCACGGCAGTCACAGCCTATGTTTGGAAAATTAAAATCCTCCATTATGACAATCCTATTGCTCCTGCAAGTCTCCACAATCTCCCTGCATATTTGTTCCTCTAATTCCCGTTGACTATTTGGGAGCCTATGGTACAACCCCCATAATGTCACCATCCCCTTCTTATTTCTTAGCTCCACCCACAAAGCCTCATTGGATGACCCCTCAGTTATTTCTGACTATTATTAATCAAAAGACCAATTCCCCCTCCCCTCTTTCCTCCACCTCTGTCCCGCCTTTAGCTGCCAGTCCTGTCCCTCCCTTAGCCATGTTTCTGTAATGGCTATAATATCCCAGTCCCACATACCTATCCATGCCCTGAGTTCATTGGTCTTACTTATCAGACCTCTTGCATTGAAATAGATGCAATTTAATCCAACAGACATTTCTCGCTCCATGTCCTGTTCCAGCCTGACCTGTCTCTTCAACTTGCTATTTCTAATCACTGTATCTCCTTCCAGCTTCACACTTGCCTCCCTGTTGTTGAGGATCCCATCCTCTTGCCAATCTAGTTTAAGCCCTCCCTTGCAGCACTAGCAAGTGTGCTTGCCAGGATATTGGTCCCCCTCCAGTTCAGGTTCAACCCGTCCCTCTTGAACAGGTCACCTCTGCCCCAGAAAAGATCCCAATGATCCAGGAATCTGAATCCCTGCCTCCTGCACCATTTTTGTTAGCCACGCATTCATCTGCCATATCTTACCCTCACTCGCACGTGGCACTGGAAGTAATCCGGAGATTACCACTGTGGAGGTCCTGGTTTTTAGTTCTCTAAAATCACTGCACAGGACCTCATACCTATTTCTACCTATGTCATTTGTGTCAACGTGCCCAATGACATGTTGGCTGTTCACCCATAGTGTCCAGGGATGTGCAGGATCGTGTGGATTGGCCATCTAAATTGTCCCATATTG